TCGGACAGTTTTTAGGATGTTACTGCATAACACCCAGAGGAAAATTACTTCTGAGCTGTCGGACGTGTTCATCAAACTTAAGCCTATGATCAATCAATACACCCAAAAATTTTGCGTTAGATTTATTTTGCAGGACACCACCGTTCACAGGAAGTTCGTTAAGCACGCATTTGAAAGATATATTTGTTTTAGTAACATTCAGAGAAAGCAAATTAGCGTCACACCACATTTTAATTTTTTCCAAGTCAGAAGTTATTATTTTATGTAGTTCGATTTCATTTTTCTCTTTCCACAAGATGGTGGTGTCATCCGCGAAAAGTGTAAAGCTGCAGGATATGTTGATCTTCGTCCAATCATTCACATATAATAAAAAGAGAACAGGTCCCAGCACGGATCCCTGTGGTACACCACTATCGATCGCCCTTCTTTCTGAGATTTCTGTTGTTCAGACCATTTGATCTCGTCCTGTGATATATGATTCAAACCATTGATAAATTGTGCCCTTGAACCCATAACGATTGAGTTTTCTAAGCAGTATATTGTGATTAACGCAATCGAATGCTTTAGAGAGATCGAAGAAAACTGCTGAGGCTGCATCACCAGCATTTATTTCTGAATAAAGATTGTACAGAAGAGAAAAAATTGCATCATGAGTGCTTTTTCCGGCCTGGAACCCAAATTGATCTTTACTCATGATATGATGTAAAAACAAGAAATCCTTCATTCGAATCTTAACTAGTTTTTCTATGGCTTTCGATATAGTTGGTATTAGAGAAATAGGGCGAAGATCAGAGGGATTATCTAAATCTTCTCGTTTATGAAGCTTTATAACGCTCAGAATAGACCTTCTTTGGAGTATTGTTCTCATGTATGGAGCTCCACCACCAAACATACCCTGAAACTTCAAAAACTGCACTCTGAATCTGGTGGATTCCATCCAGAAAAGAGCCATCCTGCTGATTGCAATATTTGCAACCTTGAGAGGCTGGAACATCAAAGAAAGGTTGGAGATTTGTCTCTCTCCTATAGATACTTTCACGAGAAAAGTTCAAGTGATTTGGCATATTTGATTTCACCAAGAGCGGTACATATCAGCAGTACATATCACGTGAATATATGTAGATGAAAACAATATAATTATAGCTAACGATTGCGAAGATCCTTGGAATGTGGCTCGATTGAAATAATTATGGATTGACTGAGGTAGCGCTTGAAGTGAATAAAATAAATACAAATGGGTTCAAGATCAAGGCAATGACGAGTGAAAAGTTTACAATCAGCATGTTTTTCTGTGAGCGATTGTAACCTTTCGACGGCCATAAGTCCTCGTAATACTGAAAACATGTGAACATTCTCTTTACATCCTTAATAAAAAAACGAGGTTCTGCTGTGAGTGTGACGTATGCGTTGGTCGATGTGAGATAAAAAAGGTCGCAAGAGGTTTCGCAATGAAATTTGGTGTACAAGGTTAACCGGTAGAGAACAGATAACTTTTTTGATAAACCAACTGGAAGTCATGATATTTAAAGTATATCTTCATTGAAATATAATTACCGTAGGTTTTCATGGACAAAAAAATTGTTGATAAAATTTCATTTCATTATTCAATATAGTTGCCTTTGAGGGCGATACAACGATTACAACGGTCAAGTTTTTGATCCCATTTTTATAGTACTGTTTGTCTTTAGCCTCAAAATACACCTCAGTTTGAACGAGTAATTCTTCATCAACGCTATTTTTTCCTAGCGAGCATTCTCCTGAGGTCTGAGAATAGAAAAATGTCGATGAGGTCCAGATCTGGAGAATATGGTGGATGCGGGAATCCCAATTTATACAATTTTGCTATAGTTTTCATTGATTCGTGACACGGTGCATTGTTTTGATGAAAAATCACTTCCTTTTTCTTCTAATGAGTCCGTTTTTCCGTTACTTCGTCCTTCAAACACTCTAATAACGCTATGTAATGGTCGATGTGGATAGTTTTTGCCTTTGCTGGATGGATACTATACCATGTGCATCCCAAAATAATGATACCATAACTTTGCTAGCCGACTGTTGCATTTTTGCACGCTTTGCAGTCGGTTCACCACGATCTGGTTCTGTTTGTGTGACCATTATTAAATCTATCAGTATCGAACTTTTCTCACACACTCTTGTTGGTGAGTTTATGATTTGCGATAGCTCGTGATCGCTAATAAAATTTTCTAAATACTTGCTTGAATAATCATTAGGATTGTAAACCCAGCTTCTCAATGAAGCCGATTAGTTTGTATGTTGAGTGGTCTTTCAGGTCGAATGGTAAGAGTACGGCTCTGCCGAACNAGGGTCACCAGAAGCTGCCCTCAAGGTGGGGTACTATCTCCCCTTCTGTGGTCGCTCCTGATAGATAGTCTTTTTGACGCCCTCGATAGATGAAAAGTGGATCTGCAAGCTTATGCAGATGACCTTGTCATCTTGGCAAGGTCCACGTCGGAAGAGTGGCCTGTAATATTCTCCAAAGCACGATGGACGTTATTCAGTTGGTGTCTGTAGGAGCAGATGTCTGTCAACTCTTCACCAGGAGGAGAAAATTGGACGATCTAACGCCACTTTCCCTCAATGATGAGGTTATTCCATTTGGAACGGAGGTGACATATCTTGGCATTGTCTTTGATAAAAAACTCACCTGGAACACTCACTTGGAGAAAGTTTTACACAAAGCCAGACTGTCCCTATGGACATGTCGAAGGATTTCTGGTAGAACTTGGGGTGTAGGTTCCAAACATATATATTGGATTTATGTGATGATTGTCTGACCAATGATAACTTAGGGTGTAATTGCTTGGTGGCCGGAGGCTTTACAGAAAATGGCCCAAGCGAAGCTCTCTGGCTCACAGAGACAGGCTTGCCTGGCCATCAGTAGTGCCATAAGTACCACACCGTCAGCGGCCATAGAGATCCTTCTAGATCTACCTCCTCTCCATTTTTCTGGGGAGAGAGGCTAGATGGACTGCATATAGACTTGAGCAAATTGCTTATTGCACAAATCAATTCAATACAGAGTGCAACAGTCTGTTTTTTGATACTGGAAGTCACGTAATTCTGGAAATGACCCCTGACTTTATGCCTCCAACTGTCAACTGCGAACTGCCTTATAAACTCATGTTCCCGAGTACAGGGGACTGAATCCCCCGGGAGAAAAAAATATTAGGAACAGATAGTCAGGACAGAGATATCAACTTGCCTAGGAACCTATGTATTTCAAGCGGAAATTTATGTGCGGAGGGTTTGGAAGAATCTTACCTCATACACAAGTCAAAAAAATATTCTCGGACAGTCAAGCGGCTTCAGAAGCTCTTGGCTCCTACCAAGCAACGTCTAAATTGGTAGCAGATTGCCAAAAAACGACTCTCCTCGATGGGAAGACTTAACAGATCGTCTGTAGTCTGGATTTCTGACCAATGAGGCTGCTGACTCCTTCGCAAAGGAGGGTGCTGCAAGCAGCTTCATCGGACCAGAATCTGTCATAGGCATCACTTTAGGCATTGCCAAACAAATATTGAACACCTGGATGGCAAGAAGATTCATGTACTTCTGGCAGAGTCTTCCAGAATTGGCTTACTCCAAGCCGTTTATTCACCCTTCGGAGCTTGATACCAAACAGTTGTTGGACTGCAGTAGGAATGAACTACGATGTCTAACAGGCCACTGTCATTTTAATCAGCATATGCAGAGAGTCGGACTGTTGGAAGACAGTGTGTGTCACCTCTGTTTGTAAAATGATGAAGCATACTTCGAGTTCGAGTTTAAGAGTTTGACAGAGCTGCACTCTTACCTTCTGCCCTGAAAGACCAGTCACCATACAAACGAATCGACTTCGTTAAGAAGCTGAGTATATTTGGTCGGTCTGAGCCACAATAAACCTTCGCGGGTTGTGGTGGCGGGTGGAATAAACCCACTCACTTTGGACCTAACCTAACCTAACCTAACCTAACCTAAAAAATCCTCAATATTTAAGATATGTACTCTTCACGGACGAGGAAAACTTCTTCCGAAATGCTATCACAAACTTTCATAACAACCATGTTTGGGCTCTCGAAAATCCGCACGCAGTTAGTGAAAGGTATTATCAGTATCAATTTTCTGTAAAAGTATGGGCGGCAATAATTAATAATTACTTGATAGGTCCTTTCTTTCTTTTGCTCCGACTGAATGACGCTACTTACAGACACTTTTTAGAAAATGAATTGCCGGGACTACTTCAGAATGTACCATTAGAAATTCGTATCCGCATGTAGTTTATGCATGATGGGGATCCGGCCCATTTTAGCGTTGTAGCCAGGGAATTCCTTAACACAGTCTATCTAAATCGATGAATCGGTAGGGGTGTAGAAGAACCTAACCAGGCGTGGGCACCAAGGTCCCCAGATCTAAACCCGATAGATTTTCATTTTTGGGGACATTTGAAGTCACTAGTTTATAAAACTCCAGTAGTGAACGAGGAAAATTTAATAAACCGAATAGAAGACGCCTGTGAAACAATAAGAAACACACCAATAATTTTTGAGTGGGTACGAGATTCAATGACTAGATGACTGACTGCCGGTATCTTCGCTGAAGGTGGACACTTCCAAAAATTTATTTGAATACAATTTAGTTTCGTTCATTTTAGTTTATTCTACATATTCAAAATCTCCTGAGATAAAATGTTGACATTTCTTGCAAACTTCATTAAAACAAATACTGATTATGCACCCTTGATACAAAAATAACTATTTCGCTTAAGGATGTTATAAAGGAACGTACCCAACAGTAATGACCTCTTAAAACGAGTAAAACGTCAAATTCATTTCCAAAGGGACTTTCTGAATTGGCACAAGGACACTAGTCTTGAGCTCCTTCGGGAATCTGCCAGTGCTCAAAGATGTATTCATAAAATGCACTCCGGACTCAAAACGGGACTTTTCAGCCCAGTTGTTGAATGTAATAGATTCCGCATATACCTACAAATGGTAACTTACTTGCCGAACTTATCAAATTGCCCCAAACTTGGGAGAAGGAGTAAAACATGAAGAATATCCCGAAAAATCTCGTCACCACGATGTCTGGACTCATGTTGGATATTTTCCCGTAGACTTCAGAAATTACCGTTAGATACGTGCATTTCGCACACCATAATGGGCCTCCGCCCAATCCGATAGCAACACCTGCAGGTATCATGGTGTAGAACCGTGGGTAGAATTGAGCCATGATGAAAGGCATGTACATGACGAAGGATAAGGCTATGGTCCATTTTGCACCTAACCACCTGAAAATAAAAGGGCAATTATGGGGTGAGGAATGAGGTTAGAACAACAAACAAACATTTGTGGTTCTAGGTGTTAGAAATCATACGTTGAAAGGTAAGACCTCATTAGTCCCTAGCTCGCATAAGTTTCTCTACTTCTGAGAGTTGTTGTTCGTATAGGGGCGACAGCTGATTAACGAAAAAACAGATTTTAAAACAGTTAGGAGACCTATTGGGTGGAATCCTAGAAATTCTAGGTCTCCTTACAGGAACCACAAATCGAATCAAATCACTTTATTTCTTCAAGACAACATACAGTCGTATAAGATAAGAGTCATGGTTAAAACCGCATGGTAGTACGGTCGGGATTTAAATGAAGAAATGTACAAAAGTATTCATTTAAAGAGTATAGACATTTCTCAACCAGGTATTCTTTGAGTTTTTTTTAAAAGTACGTTCATGTTTCAAGCTTTTAATGGAGGAAGGTAAGTTGTTGAAAATCTTTGCGCCGATTCGAGCTGGAGCTTTATAGAAAATATTGCGTTTAGAGAGTGGTAATCGTAAATCATCCTTACGACGTGTGTTGTATTCGTGGAAATCGTTATTTATGAGAAAAAAATCCCTATTTTTGAACACAAAAATACAGACTTCAAATACGTAGAGGCCTGTACAGGTCAGAATTTCAAATCTTTTGAAGATTTCTCGACAAGAATAGTCT